TTCCCATTTAGGCTGGCATTGCCAGAGGTGGCTGTCAAGTAGGGTTGCCAGCTCTTGGGTTGGGAAACGCCGGGAAATTTGGGAGGTGGAGCCCGGGGAGAGCAGGGCTTGTGGAGGGGAGGGACCTCGGCATGATACAGTGCCACAGAATCCACCCTCCAAAGGAGCCATTTTCTCCAGGCAAAATGATGTCTGTAGTCTGGAGCTCGGTTGTAAAAGCGGGAGATCTCCAGGCCCCACCTGGGGGTTGGCAACCCTAGTGTAAACCTTAGAGTTGCCCACTCCGGGCTGCGGACTAGCTGGAGATTTTGGAGGTGGAGCCTGAGGAAGGCGGGGTTTCGGGAGGGGAGGGACGTAAATGAGGCATAATGCCATGGAGTTCGCCTTCCAAGGCAGCCGTTTTCTCCAGGCGAACCGATCTCTGCCTCCTGGCAATCAGCTGTAATAGCGGGAGGTCTCCAGCCACCACCTGGGGGTTGGTAACCCTAATAAAGCTACTTGAATTATTAGGGTTTCTTTGGCTTGCTGCGCACAGTGGTGAGCATGCCGATCACCATTGGAGCAACCAGGGGAACGGACCCAGCCACATGAGATGCAGCTACCAAAGTTACATTGCGAATACAGGCGATGCGTCTTACCCCGGGCAATCCCAGGCAGGTCCCAAGGCAATGCTCCCTCTAAGTCTTGGGAGCAAAAGTTCTACTTTGTGAGCTGCTGGCCTTAAAGTGGTGAGCGAGCCATTTGGCTGCTTCATAAATCGGTTTGCTCTGGGGCCCTCCTTCCTGAGCTAAGACAAAAATGGGAGAGCCGGAGGCTGAAAAACTGTGAGCTAGCTCAGCACTAACTCAGCTTAGAGGGAACACTGGTCCAACGTGCATCAGGTATTCGTCAGATCAGCACCGTCCCCCTCTCGTTTCAACGCGGCATGCCTGGTGGTGGTAAGGGGTGCACTTAAAGGGTAATTGGATGCTTCTGCCTGTTTATGAGGTACTAACCATGCCCAGGGCTAAATAAAGCCCAAGGCCAAAGGCCAAGGCGTTTATTAGGAACAACCCCCCGGGCTGATGCAGAAGAGATCTGTCAGTCGACACTCGGGCATTTTAGCCAGGAAGGCTCTTAACGTGACGTTCCTTCAGATGAGGCTTTTGACGGTTCTGTAGCTCACAGCCCTGAGGGCCCCCTGCCTCCCCCCCCCCACATTTCCTGGCAGAGAGAACATCACCTGGGTCATCAAGGCATTGCGATGGGAGAAGCCGTTGCTTACGGTTCTGCAACGGGCGGCGGCTCAATGATAAAGCATCTGCTTGGACTGCAGAAGGTCCCAGGTTCAATTCCAAGGACCTCCTTAGAAGGATCTGGGAGCAGATGGTGTGAAAGTGCTTTACAATTTAAGGTGGGTCTGCAGTGATAGAGCAGGATTCAACCCCGTTACCAGCTAAGAGCCCAACAAGATTTGTGGGTATGAGCTTTTGAGAGTCAAAAGAGAAGAAGAAGAAGAAGAGATTGGATTTATACCCCCCCTTCACTTGGTGTCTCAGAGTGGCTTGCAGACTCCTTCCCCTTCCCCTCCCCACAACAGACACCCTGTGAGGTAGGTGGGGCTGAGAGAGCTCTTTCAAGGACTGCTCTTGAGAGAACAGCTCTTATCAGAACTACGGCTTGCCCAAGGTCATCCAGCAGCTGCAAGTGGAGGAGTTTGGAATCAAAGCCGGTTCTCCCAGATTAGAGTCCGCGCACTTAACCACCACACCAAACTCCCTTCATCAGATGCAAGTAGGAATGGAGATGCCTGAGCCCTTATATCCCAGTAAGAAACAGCATTGGTAAAGGGGAAGAGAAGAAGAAGAGATTGGATTTATACTCCGCCCTTCACTTGGAGTCTCAGAGCGGCTTACAAACTCCTTTCACTTCCCCTCCCCACAACAGACACCCTGTGAGGTGGGTGGGGCTGAGGGAGCTCTGAGAGAACTGTCCTTGAGAGAACAGCTCTGAGAGAACTATGGCTTGCCCAAGGTCATCCAGCAGCTGCATGTGGAGGAGTGGGGAATCAGACCCGGTTCTCCCAGATTAGAGTCCGCGCACTTCACCACTACACCAAACTCCCTTCATCAGATGCAAGTAGGAACGGAGGTGCCTGAGCCCTTCTATCCCAATAAGAAACAGGGTTGCCAAGTCCAAGTTGGGAAATTCCTGGAGATTTGGGAGTGGAGCTGCAGAGGGCGGGGTTTGGGGAGGGAGGCATTTCAGCAGGGTTTCATGCCATAGAGCCCAACCTCCAAAACAGCCATTTCCTCCAGGGGAGCTGATCTCTGTCAACTGGAGTTCAGTTGTAATTCTGGGAGATCTCCAGGCCACACCTGGAAGTTGGCAGCCCGAGTCAGAATGGGGGATGGGTGTCCCATACACAGGAAGTAATGCCTCTTCCTGTGTATGAGAGCAATTAATTTATGTGAGAGCAATTAATTTATGCAAAATTAGGTTATGTAAAACGGCTCCCCCCCCCTTCCAGGGCCATTCCCCGCCCATCGGCAAATTTATACAGATTTTTAAAATTAACTACTTGGTTCCAATCTCATAGAGTTAGAGAGCAGTCCTAATTCTTAGGCAGGAGAGGGGAGGCAGGAAGGGTAGCATCAGAGCTTCGTTCTTGTTGCCCTTACGCCCAGGGAAATGCCAATCGCCACTCTGGGGTCAGGAAGCCATTTTTCTCCAGGCCAGTTTGGCCAGGGATCCTGGAGGTTTTTTGTCATCTTCTGGGCGTGGAGTAGGAGTCACTGTGTGTGTGTGTGTGTGTGTGTGTGTGTGTGTGTGTGTGTGTGTGTGTGTTGGAGAGGTAATTGTGAATGTTCTGCCTTGTGCGGGGGGTTGGACTAGATGCCCCTGGAGGTCCCTTCCAACTCTAGGATTCTAAACAGGGCTACTCAGAATCCTGCTCAGGTGTACTCTCTGTGTGTGTGTGCATGTGTGTGTTTAAAGTGCTGTCAAGTTGCAGCCGATTTCTGGCAACGCTGTCAGGGTTTTCAAGGCAAGAGACATTCAGAGGCAGTCTGCCATTGCCTGCCTCTGCATCGCAACCCTGGGCTTCCTGGGGGGGGGTCTCCCACCCAAGTGCTAAGCAGGGCCGACCCTGCGTAGCTTCTGTGCTCTGGCAAGATCAGTCTTGCTTCGGCCATCCCAGTCAGGGGATCGCTGTCAATTAACTAGCAGTGGAATCCTAGCAGAGCCACACCCTTCCGAAATGCATTAAAATCGAGCGGTGGGTGGGGGGCCCCCCGGGTAGGGTTGCCAGATCGAGGTTGGGAACCTCCTGGAGATTTGGGGTTGGAGCCTGGGGAGGACAGGGACTTCAGTGGGGTACAATGCCATAGAGTTCACTTCCCAGTTTGGTGTAGTGGTTAAGTGCGCGGACTCTAATCTGGGAGAACCGGGTTTGATTCCCCACTCCTCCACTTGCGCCTGGCTGGATGACCTTGGGCAAGCTGTCGTTCTGATAAAATCTGTTCTTGAAAAAGACAAGTTTCTGTCAAGAGCTCTCTCAGCCCCACCTACCTCACAGGGTGTCTGTTGTGGGGAGGGGAAGGGAGAGGAGTTTGTGAGCCGCTCTGAGACTCCCTTGGGTAGTGAAGGGCGGGGTATAAATCCAATCTCCTCCTCCTCCTCCTAATCCTCCTCCTCCTCCTCCTCTTCTTCTTCTTCTTCGGCATCAATTTTCTCCAGGGAAACTGACCTGTAGTATGCAGATGAGCTATTTTTAAATTTGTATTTATTTTTATTTATACCCCGCCATCCCCGCATAGCTGGCTCAGGGTGGGTTCCATCATACCAAGTCGACAATCACAGACATATGCAAATAACATAACACTTAAAGCCAATTAAAATACATCACAATTAAAATACAGATTGTCATTTCCGATACTGCTAACCAGAGCGTCAACAGATGAGGTCTACCGCAACTTGGGGTTCCAGATGGTTACTCAGATCTGGGTCACTGGAGAGGGAGGCCCAATAAGGTGTGGACGCCCGCCGCCTCAGCTAAAAAGCCTGGCAGAAGAGCTCCGTCTTGCAGGCTTTGCGGAACTGTAAAAGGAACTGATGAAGAGAAAAGAGAAGAGATTGGATTTATACCCCGCCCTTCACTACCCAAAGGAGCCTCAGAGCAGTTTACAATCTCCTTTCCCTTCCCCTCCCCACAACAGACACCCTGTGAGCAGTGTTCCCTCTAAGCTGAGTTAGTGTGAGCTAGCGCACAGTTTTTTAGCCTCTGGCTCACCCATTTTTGTCTTAGCTCAGGAAGGATGGCTCCAAAGCAAACTAATTTATGCAGTAGTCAAATGGCTTGCTCACAACTTTAATGTTAGTAGCTCACAAAGTACGATTTTTGCTCACAAGACCCCACAGCTTAGAGGGAGCATTGCCTGTGAGGTAGGCTGAGAGAGCTCTTTCGAGGACTACTCATGAGAGAACAGCTTTGAAAGAGCTCGTAACTGACCCAAGGTCACACCAGCAGCTGCATGTGGAGGAGTGGGGAATTAAACCTGATTCTCCCAGATTAGAGTCCGTTCTCCTAACCACCACACCAAACTGGCTCTCATATGATCTCATATGGAAGCTCATTCCACCAGGTAGGGGCCAGGGCCGAGAAAGCCCTGGCCCTCGTTGATGCAGGACGGACATCCGGGGACCACCAGGAGATGCCGGTTCTCAGATTGTAATGTCCTACAGGGCTCATAAGGGGAGAGGCGGTTTGTTATTCCAGAGGATCCCCAGGTCCCACCTGGAGGTTGGCATCCCCAAATCAGTAGCAGAACTGTGCTTTTGAGACGTGCGCCACCTTTGAAACCTCCCTCTTCCTCAAAGTGATTTTACAGAGAACCAAAGACGATCACTTAATGATAAAGCTTATTTCCCTCCGAGATGTACCGGCAGTTGCCCAGCAGGCAACAGAAGAACATTTGTTTCTAGGGACATTCCAACCCCCTGGCCTTTATCTCTCCCAACAGCGCCTGGTACCTCGACGGCCAGTTACTCCTCCTGATCACCTCCGTCTGCATCGTCTTCCCCCTGGCGCTTCTTCCCAGAATTGGTAAGTAATTTTAAAGGCGGGTATTATTGCCGTCATAATTACTATTAGCAGCAGTTGCTCCCTTTTAGTGGCAGTTTAATTGAAGGGTTTTAAAGAAACCTTTAATGGGTCGTTACGTTTTTTAAAAAAAATAAATAAATTTTAAGACGCAAGCCAAAGATCGAGGGGAGGTGGATTTATTTGCGGCGTAGTCTGTCTTTCCCAGCCTTGCCTAGTTAACCTGTTCCTTAGATTGCAGTCCTGTTTCGTCTGCCCCACTAAAATAAAACCTTTTACAGCGGGACATTAAAGAGCTGCATGTACTTAACGGCACGCCATTAGCGGTAAGCCCGTTCTAATTCCGCCCTGCAGAACCACACAAATGATCTGCGACGGGCGAGTCGGAATGTTGTTATTCTGAGTCTTAAGCCCTCGATACCGAGGGCCGTAATGGGAAACATGCTTACCCCGCGAGGGGGGCCTTTCGGCCCTACACCAGAATCGCTTGCCTTATAAATTGCCTCTTTTTTTCCCCCCACTGTTCCTTTACAGGCTTTCTTGGCTACACAAGTAGTTTATCATTTTTCTTTATGGCGTACTTCGCTCTTGTGGTAAGTCTTAAAAAAAGAAAATAACAGATCGCCCCTTAACTTTTAAGCTTTCTTATTATTTTGATGGATTTCAGAGTGCCTTTGAAACGGATGTCTGCTCTTTACCAACTTGCCTCTAAAACTGAAAGTGTTCTTTCTCTTCCTCCTCCTCTTCCTCCTCCTCCTCTTCCCCTGTATGCACGGTGTGTGTGTGTTTTCTTCCCTTTGGATAAGTTTTGCTTGGCTTAAGGGGGATCTGTTATGGACAGCCAAGCATGGGAAAAAGATTTACCAGGGTAAATTTCCTGGACTGTAAAATGCAGTCGAGTGTATTTGCGTTGCTGACAGGGCAGTGAAAAATACTGGCCGGGATGCCTTCTCCCCCTTCCTTTCCACGCGTGTAATGGAATTCCTTCGCCTTCGCTTCCAACCGCCATTTACTGCAATCCGTGCGGAAGAAAACGCCATATGTTCCAAGTAAATTGAATCTTCACGTTAGTTCAACAAAACACACACACAGAGGAAGATGCAAGCTCCTTTTGAGCAATTTAATGTATGTATTAATCTATCAGAGACCGTATTCTTTCCAGCTGAAAGAAATAGGTTTTCCCTCTCCCAGTCTTTCTGAGCCACCTGCGCATTTACAGTAGGGCTGCCATTCCCCCGACGGGGGTGGGCATCTGCCCGCTTTTGGGGACCCCGATCCGCCCGCCCCTATCTGGCCGTTGGGGGGAACCCTGCCCCCAAAGTGCCGTGTTAGTGCCAACGTGCCCGGTGCAATGATGTCACCTGGAGGTGACGTCATCACGCAGGGCACGTTGCAGGGAGGACACTCTGTTGTTCGAGAAAAAACTCTATGGAGAGAGATACGGACCCCACCCCCGCCGACAGGCAGGTAAGACTCGACAATCCTAATTTACAGCCCCTTCACTTCCTTATAAAATACAAGTAAAGGTTCCCTTGCTCGAAAGCCAGTCGAATCCGACTCTAGGGTTGCGGTGCTCATCTCCGTTTCAAAGCCGAAGAGCCAGCGCTGTCTGAAGACGTTTCCGTGGTCATGTGGCCGGCATGACTAAACACCAAGGCGCACGGAACGCTGTTACCTCCCCACCGAAGTGGTACCTATTTATCTACTTGCAATTTCTTGCTTTCGAACTGCTAGGTTGGCAGGAGCTGGAACTAGAGACGGGAGCTCACCCCGTCATGCGGCACACTCGGGTCTCGAACTGCTGAACTACCGACCTTCCACAGCCTGCAGTTCAGCGTCTTAACCACTTGAGCCACCGCACCTCCTGTTCACTTCCTTATACTTTTTGTTTAAACGGTTTAAAGGGCTAAGTCAGTAAAAGATTCTCTAGTCTTGTTGCAGTTTACCGGTACTCACGGTGTTAGTCTTCTTGATTTTATTTGGATGAGGTCTGCTGCTTTCCCCCCTTCATCCGGGTAGTCACGGCTCCGCATCCATGGCTGCCATGGGTGCTCTCGCGCACGTCCTGCTTCGGGGCGATCCTGGACTTCTGCATGCTTGCTGCCACTTGCAGAGAGTCCGAATCAAGCCCCCTGTTCGGGCTCCTCTCCGGGGAGCCCAATGGAGTTCGAGAGCCCCTGAACTCCACTAAATGACCCGGCGATCCGATGGCTTCTTAGGAGAGAGTCCCGGAGCTGACCTTCCCCCCGCCGCGCCAAAAACTGGAAGCATAAATCTTTCGCCTTTTATATATTTCTCAAATGTAGACAGAGTCGCGGATATCTTAATCCATGGATCAGGCCCACACTGAGAAAGGTGATTATTCTCCAAACTTGGGGGCACCCCCCCCAGATGTGCAGAAAAATCTGACATCTCTAAAAAATTACATGGGGGGGGGGCTGAATACCCCCAAAACAATACCGTCAGGTTCAACAGCATGTAAATCTCCACACACGTTTCCAGGGAATCGTTATGCTTTATTAGACTACAGGTTTGTTGCCATGATCTACAGGTACATTGTTAGGAATGACAATGGGGGCTGATGCATCACTACATATACTATGATGCTGCAATGTGCTAAGCAAATGAAATCCAAGCGCGCGCGCGGGAATTCTCCCGGCGGGAGGTTACATAATGAACGGGAGGCTCTCCGTGCACCATGAGAGCAAAAATATCCACACTGGCAGTGGAACGCAAGCCCTCCCTCCTCCTCAAGGTTATTCAGATAACCCAGTCTGGCAGCGCCAGTTTGCACGGTCTCAAGAGCGCCTCCCGTTAGCTGTTTACAGCAAGCGAGCTAAGCAAGCAAGCAAGCATGCGCACCCGCGCCGCAGTCAGGAAGGAACGAACACAAGTGAAACATGGCAGTTAGCTGACACTTAACCTCCGTTCATGGAGTTTCTAGAATCCAAGAGCCACTCCAGGTCCAGACTCAGTGGCGGCAGCGATCTACAAAAAGTGCACCGGGACGCGCCAACGCAACCCGGGAGTTCTCAGGCCGCGCTGGACTCGGACATGTTGGCTGCGGAGATCGGGAAGCGCGTTGGGCCTATCCACACTGCTGGCAGAGCTCAAAAAGCCCGCCAAGCCCGGCCATGCTGGGTGGCAAAGTTTGGGAAGTACGCTGGGCCCTGTGGCACCAGCAGGTGCTCGGGAACTGCACCGGGCCCGGCCGCACTGGCACTGGAGTCTTGGTGCAGTGCCGAGCCCAGGGTCACCACTATTGCACCTGCCATAGCGTGAGGAGGAGGGCAGATGAACACAGTTTCGCTACGCCTTCCTGTCCAGCTAGCAAAAATGCAGGTAGTGTGTGTGTGGGGGGGAGTTGTTGCTGCCCCCCTAAGCTCACAACACTGGAAGGAGGTGCAGAAGTCATTACTCCCTTTCATACCCCCAAGCCGCCAAGTCCTTGCCAGTGATGGCTTCTCGTGTTGCTGCCATACCTTTTAAATAGTGTTTTCCCCCATGTTCCAGCCCATAGATGTCCCATCTGGCTCATACATACGTAGTATGCACACATTGCATAATGACAGGGGCTTTGCAGCAGTTGTGTGTGTTTCGAGTCCATCTTCTCCTAATTAACCTCAGGTGCTATCAGAGAGAGAGAGATGTAAAGTGCATTAGAACATAAGAGAAGCCATGTTGGATCAGGCCAGTGGCCCATCCAGTCCAACACTCTGTGTCACACAGTGGCCAAAACCCAGGGGCCATCAGGAGGTCCACCAGCGGGGCGAGAACTCCAGGAGCCCTCCCACTGTTGCCCCCCCCCGGCACCAAGAAGACAAAGCATCACCGCCCCATACAGAGTATTCAAGGTAAAGGTAAAGGTTTCCGTTGCTCGAAAGCTAGTCGAATCCGACTGTAGGGGGTGGTGCTCATCATTGTTTCCAAGCCCAAGAGACCAGCTATACTTTGTGGCTAATAGCCACTCATGGACCTCTGCTACATATGTTCATCCAGCCCCCTCTTGAAACTGTCTATGCTTATAGCCACCAATTCCTGTGTCAGTGAATTCCAGGTGTTAATTAAGTAGCGTACTGTTCAGAAAGGGTTGGGTCATCTACTGCCCTCTAGCCCTTGCCTCCTAGTTCCTAAAGGAATCTCCCAAATTCATCTATTTTGCCATACATACAAAACCAGTGGCTTGGATCCAACAGAGCATTTCTGTTAACGCTTTCTCTCTTCCCCTCCATGCTGATGGGGGGGTGTTGTCTGCACAAACACAGGCAAAGCTGCAGTGTTTTCAGGGGGGTTGAAATCGTATCAATTTTTTTTAAAAAATTCTCAGTTTATTCTGCAAACCCGATGGTCCCCCCAAGTTTGTAGAAGTTATCTATTTTCACTTTACATGGCCCCAGCCCAAAGCTTTAAGTATCCATAGATGGGGCCATATTGAGAATTAGGTATATGAGAAGAGAAAAGAAGAAGAGAGAGAAGAGATTGGATTTATACCCTTCCCTTCACTACCCGAAGCAGTAGAGTGGTTTACAATCTCGTTTCCCTTCCCCTCCCCACAACAGACACCCTGTGAGATTGGTGGGGCCGAAAGAGCTCTTCCGAAAACTGATTCTGAGAGAACTTGTGACTGACCAAAGGTTATACCAACAGCTGCACGTGGAGAATCAAACCCAGTTCTCCCAGATTTGAGTCCGTTCTCCTACCCACTACACCAAACTGGCTCTCATATGATCTCATATGGAAGCTCATTCCACCAGGTAGGGGCCAAGACCAACTGGCTGTAGAAGAAGAAGAGATTGGATTTATACCCCGCCCTTCACTTCCCAAAGGAGTCTCATAGCGGCTTACAAACTCCTTTCCCTTCCCCTCCCCACAACAGACACCCTGGGAGGTAGGTGGGGCTGAGAGAGCTCTTGACAGAAACTGCTCTTTTTCAAGAACAGCTCTTAGCAGAACTACGGCTTGCCCAACGTCATCCAGCCAGGTGCAAGTGGAGGAGTGGGGAATCAAACCCGGTTCTCCCAGATTAGAGTCCGCGCACTTAACCACTACACCAAACTGGCTCTCCAGCTTCAAAAGGGAATTAGATAGGCACAAGGGGGGACCCGCAACAAAATGTTGCGTAATGTGTTGTGGCTTGGTTTAATTTGTAACTGCAGTGTAGGTTTTGTCTACTCCCCTACATAGTGTTATTCCTTCTCTCTGTCTGTCCCCTCAGCCCTGGGGAAGGCGCGAGGAAGCAAAGAGGGGGAAGGGATGGATGCACTCTCTCTGGGATTACTGGAGTGCCAAGGGCGGTAGGTAGGTAGGTGGGGACAGCAGCAAGGTTGGGGGGAATGCCAAGGATGGGGGGG